CTTTGTGATGATGAGGTAATGAAATGTATTAGTGAATACTTCTATGTTGATGATTGCTTGAAATCTGTACCAACGCCAAAAGGAGCTATTGATATGATCATGGATTTAAAAGATTTATGCAAAAGGGGAAAATTTAATCTAAGAGACTGCATCAGTAACAGCAAGGATATACTGGAATCAATTCCAGTAGAAGATTGCAAACATCAAATGGACACATTAGGTCTAGATATACAGACAGAGTTCCACGAGATGTAATTTGGAGGAGCCTCAGACTGAAAGGAGAGCCTGAGTATATTGTTATGAGCATAGTGTTATGAGTATATTGTTAGAGGGTTGGAGAGAAAAGTTAGAGGATAGAGGACGCAGGATCAGCAGACTGAATACGGAATGCATGAAATGCCACTTCGGAGAGGAGGATGAGCAGGAGGTGGATTTGGAAATAGACCTAGAGGTACTCAGAGAGACTGATATCTTCACGTACCTAGGGTCTATGGTGTAGCATGATGGAGGGATGGAAGCAGAGATTACAAATAGGATACAAAGTGGATGGAGGAATTGGAGGAAGTGTGTTGGAGTAATGGCGGATAAGAGAATGAGCATGAGGCTAAAGAGAAGGATCTACACTAGTGTAATAAGACCCGCACTCACCTAGGGAGCAGAGACCTGGGCAACCGCCAAGAGAGAAGAGGAGCGCCTGGATGTGAACGAAATGAGAATGCTGCGATGGACTCGCGGGGTGACAATAAGGGACAGAGTGTCTAACCGCCACTTTAGAGAATCTCTACACGTCACTGAGGTGGCCAGGAAGTGAAAGAGAGATTAGTTTTTGGTTTGGACATGTCGAGCAAAGAGAGGAGGAGCACTGCCTGAAGCGTGTGTCAGCAGGAAGAGGGGTCCCCGGAAGAAGAGGGGTGGGAGGACCAAGGATGAGATGGAAGGATTGTGTGAGCTGGGATATGAAGGAAGCAGGATTGAACAGAGAGATGGTCCAGGATAGAAACAACTAAAGTCGTCAATTGAGGGACTATTTCAGCGAACCCGTATAGTCGGGAAAAGCTTGTAGAAGAACATCTAGATATGCAAAATTTGCCCACAGAGGGGACTCTTGGACTCGTGTGGTCGGTCACCACAGATAGCTTCGAGTTCAAAATAAATATAAGAGATAGAGAGGAAAATGGAAGAGGAACGCTGTCAATGGTTGGTTCCTAGTGCGACCCCTTGTACAGAAGGGGACTGATGTGGATGGGCCCATGCCTGATGGGGAATCAAAGGAGTATGGGAAATGGATAAAACCACAGATTCCCTGGAGAATACTAAGGTTCCAGGATGCTCAAGGAAAGTGCAAGCTGAAGGTGTTTATGTACAATTACATTGTTCGCTGATGCAAGCTATAGTGGGTATGGCGTTGCTATATATGTAAGACTCCAATACTCTGATCAGAGCATCGATTGTGCTCATGTGGTAAGGAAAATGGCGGGTCCTCATGTGGTGAGGAAATCGGGTCCTCATGTATTGAGGAAAATAACGGGTCCTCATGTGATGAGGAAAATAACGGGTCCTCATGCATTGAGGAAAATAACGGGTCCTCATGTGATGAGGAAAATAACGGGTCCTCAGGTAGTGAGGAAATAACGGGTCCTCGTGTGATGAGGAAAATAACGGGTCCTCAGGTAGTGAGGAAAATAACGGGTCCTCAGGTAGTGAGGAAAATAACGGGTCCTCAGGTAGTGAGGAAAATAACGGGTCCTCATGCATTGAGGAAAATAACGGGTCCTCATGCATTAAGGAAAATAACGGGTCCTCATGCTTTGAGGAAAATAACGGGTCCTCATGTGATGAGGAAAATAACGGGTCCTCAGGTAGTGAGGAAAATAACGGGTCCTCAGGTAGTGAGGAAAAAAACGGGTCCTCAGGTAGTGAGGAAAATAACGGGTCCTCAGGTAGTGAGGAAAATAACGGGTCCTCAGGTAGTGAGGAAAATAACGGGTCCTCATGTGATGAGGAAAATAACTGGTCCTCATGGGATGAGGAAATTAACAGGTCTTCATGTGGTGGGGAAAATAACGGGTCCTCATGTGATGAGGAAAATAATAGGTCTAATTAATGATCACAAAGTTTCTGCTAATATTTGAGCACTCCGGAGAAATCTGTGTTCATGCATGTCCTGCCGTGCTCGTAATAGAGTCTCTGTTCCGTTTTTCTGCCGTATCCTTGCTGTTGCAGATCCCGAGAACATGATGCAATGCAGAGTTCCTGCCAGATTACTTCCCTGATGACTTCCCTGTGTGATGGGATGACGTCATGGAAAGATGTGTCCTGACTTGTCAGCATAACTGATGTCTACGCCACTGCCTGGAAATCACTGCCTCCTTGGCTGACATTCATCGGTAGCAAAGGATCCTGTCTTAATAGTTGACATTCTGGTGCATAGTGATTTGTTTGATGACTGATACGTGAGGGTGCTTAATGAGTGGAGCCATGTTGCATCGGCATCCTAGTGAAACCTTTGGAAAAAACTGTAGATGAAAACTTCGACGAGAACCTTCAGATAATTATTCAGCGAAAACACATACACATTTGCAGTACAGAAACGATCGTTACCAAGTGTAAGGCATAATGTTTTTAGTCGCTGTCTTTGCCTGAGTGATTGCTTGTATTCTGATCTTGGTATATATGGTAGAACCTACAACGCCATAACACACATTGTATTGCTGAGTCCTGGAGAGGTTTTTTAATCTCGGCGGCCAAAAGTTCTGGGAGGAGTTCAATTTTTGTATACAAGAGGTTGCATTCTCTCCCTGTGACTGGGGCGTGGAGTTTTTTCCCTTGTCCGGCAGCAATACAGATGAGGATCATTATAACTGATCGTTAATTCGTGGGAGATCTGATGTTAGGTTTGCCCCTGTTGTTACTGATATAGAAGCCATGAAGACAAGGCAAAGGGATATGAGAAAATATAGGATTCAAGCTGTGCTGTGCATCTGTGGTAACAATTCTCTGTCTAACTCATTTCGGAAGTGATGTATATGAGGAATATAGAAGAGCCTCTCGGGGGTGGCGGTCTATGCCAAAACCTGGACTATACCGTTCCCAGCGCCGGGCAAGAGTTTTGTGTTGTTTGAGACACTCCGTGCTCAATCAATGGGGGGAGTGTAGCCGCTGTTATCAACATCGGCATGGCGTACCCGCTGGCATCAGCATCACGTGTATAACATCTGTAGCCACTGCCATCAGCATCGGCATGGCGTAGCTGCTGGCTTCAGCATCACGCGTACATCATCCCCTCTAGGACTTGGTTGACGGTTTCTTCATGGGTTACGATAAGGATAATGCCATGGCCGTGTTCCTCCATGTGTTTGTATGTGCTGAATTAGGCCTTGTCCCTAGTGTTGACGTATAAATGAAGGAAGGGCGTCTCACGAAAGGGGGGCCATCACAGGTTATAGAACAGTTTGAGAGTGAATACTGGCTCGACAACACGTACATAAGGACCGATCTGTGGACTTCTGTTAAAGGCCTTGACTGTTCCCGCTATGCGTATGTATCATACACATTCATGTATAGATATACATTAGTGTCAGTGTATGTTGTTGATTACCTAAAGCAGTAGGGTATAATGACATTCTCAGCAAACAGTAAAATGTATGTATGTATTATAACTACTGATATGATCTTGTTATGATTATTATTGCATGATTGATATTGTATTGATTATGTAATGATTACAGGTTTGACCGCATTCAAATAAATTGAGAAGCGAGTACGACGCAGTGGTATCAGTCACCTCGAATTAACGCAAATAATCCAAGCGTGTGAAATGGCGCTTACAACCAAGGTATGCAAAATTGCAAATCCTGGATCTTGGTCATGGCCCATCAGACCTCTAGGCCCAAGGGCTTCGCCTCATTGCTAAATGTATCAAGAGCTGCCAGAGACTCAAATAGGATAGCATCATCGTTAGCAAAGTCAACGTCTGTGACCCTGATATTGCCCAGTGTTGCTCCACATTGACTTTGAATGGTAGCTCTGCTCATTATCCAGTCCATGCAGGTGTTGAAAAGTGTTGGTGCAAGTACACATCCTTGCTTCACCCCTGAATTAACAGGGAAGAAGTTCGACAGGCCCCCCGTCACACTCTACAGCATTGTCAGTACCAGATTATAATCTGTGTTGGATATTACCCGAAGTCTCAGGACCTCTAATAGCGATTCTCTCTGCACCGAGTCAAACGCCTTCTTGAAGTCAATATAGGCTGCAGGCAGCCCATGGCCAAACTCACGACGGCGTTCCACAATTACTCGAAGCGCTAGGATACGGTCTATTATGTTTTGCCAGGAGCGAATCCAGACTGCTCCGGTCTCTGGTTTCTTAGTAGGTGGTCGCGGATCCGTTTCAGAAGAATGTGGGCGAAAACCTTGCCTGGTATACTGAGCAGTTTAATGTTATGGTAGTGACATTACACTACCCATCGATCCTCTTTCCTCTTCCAGAGAGGGATGACTATGCCCCTCAACAGGTCAGGGGGAATAGAACCAGCCTTCCAGATGGCAGCCATGAGACTATGCAAGCCTGTACCATAGGTTCACCATCAGCCTTTAGTAATTCAGAAGGGATATCACATATACCTGAAGGTTTCCCACCTTTTAGCGTAGAGATCGCATCCCTAACCTCAGTCAGGGTAGGAGATTCGTCGCTGATGGGTGGCACAGGTATTGTAACACTACTTGGGTTCTGACTAACTGCTGGAATGTCTACCAGGTACAGCTGCTAGAAATACTTAGCCCAACGTTTACGGACCCCAGTATGTGTATATATATATATTCACTCTCATATATCTATATCTATATCTATATATTATATATATATATATATATATATATATATATATATATATATATGTATACATATATGTGTGTGTGTGTGTGTGTGTGTGTGTTTTAAGGATAATAATAAAAAAGAAACATTTGCTGTCTCTTTATTTCCATGTATCTTTTATCACAATTAATAAGTCTTGAGGCAAATGGGGTTATACCTGTTTCCACACTGGCTATCGTACCAATAATGGTTATAAGAAGCATGCATAAAAGCGCAGTTGTAGGTATTCCCATTGTTAGGCTCGTTTACACCCCAGAAAGGAATGCCCATGGGAGTGGGTTTGTTGTTTACAAATTTCCATGCGCCTTCTTCTACTTCATCTGTTGCTCCTATCCAGTAGTGTTTTCCTTTTGTGGCATCTGGAAAGCAAAGATGGGAATTATTGGTTTGTTAAGTGAGGGGAGGTTTTGTAATTTGTTTATCTATTCATGGTAGGTAATTGTGGCGCGTTTCATTTCAGGAAAGAAAAGAGAAAAAATATAAGCTGGCAACTCATACCAAATTCAAGGAAGCGCCGATTTGCCTTATCTCTCTTTTTTATTCTCATCAGCTAACATCTCATAAATGTTTCTGTTTATATTTGTGTGTTTGTTTATTTGATTCATATACAATACTTCTATTGCTTCA